AATTAAAGTATTTGAACTATATTGTGAATTGTTAAGAAAAATAGTAAAAGATTGAAACCTCATATACTTGAATTTTTTGTATAAATTAATTAATTGTTAAAAAAAATTGTACATCATCTTGTATTAATCTTATAATATATATATCCTCGTTCCGGAGGTACATAAGAAAATGTCCTCATTTCTTGTGGAGCGGGCCGAACGCCTCTACAGTATAGATGCATCTATGGATCGCGCCNCATCTATGGATCACGCTGTTCGTCCCTCGGCAGTGTACACGACACTCTGGATCGGGTCGTACAACCTCGACAGAAATCGTGCCTAATAATAATAACAACTATAGGATACCTTGATATTTTAATTGCAGCTTGTGAAGTTAAATAAATAAAGTGAAAATTATTGCATTTGAAGGAATTTAATTATTTCTGCTAGTTAAAGAAAATTATTGTAAATTCTATAAATCATGTTGATTTAAATATTTTTATTTTTATTTTATTTATTATTATTGACCCTTAGTGAGTGTCAAAGTCGACCTCTCGTTACTACCTCTTCAAGGTTAGGCTTGATACCTACTGGGTACACGTTGTTTACGTACTCATGCTATACTTGCTGCACTTTTTGTGCAGGAATTGAGACAGGTGCTATAGTTGGACCTATCGGCGCGCACCCACGTTATCTAGAGACTTGGTGTTGAGCTACCTTTCTGAGCCGTTCTGCAGCAACTAGTGCATCTTCTTTAAATTTTATTTTGTCTATTTTATTTCAGACAGTATTTAGAATTTTTATATAATCTACTAGATGCTCATACACTTGTGACACTAGGGCATGGCACACGCTAGTAGAATTTTGGATTTAATTATTTTTCTTGATTATTTTAATTTATTAGATCTTTTCATATTGTCTTAATTCTTGCAAGTAAGAAGAATTTAATTACTCGATTAATTTTTAAAGAGTTGAATATGTATTTAAATCACTAGTTGATTTGTCTTGCTGTAATGTTGGGCGCCATCACAACCTATAGATAAAATTGGGTCGTGACAGTATAACGACAAGGGTATATTTGGACTCATAATATAACGAATGATATATTTAAACTGTTTTCGAAAGCACATGGGTATATTTAGAACTTTTCGATAAAATCAATAACACAAAACAATTACAAGAAAAAATTATTTGACAGATATGACTGGATCAAGGGTGATGGGAGCAAGAGAAGGTTCTTGAACAATGGGATTTAAATTATCCACTTTCCCTCCCAATTTAGCCTCAAGAAAAGCCACAACAATCCCTCCAACAGCCTTTCTCATAAGGTCCTTTGGTCCCTTCCCACTCTTTGAAATCAAACTCGCAATTGCAGCAATTTCGTCATCTAACATATCAGTATGTCCATAATTTTTAGCCAGAAAATAACAGCAAGGTGGTTTGCACTCGTTAAAAAACTCCGAATGGTTGACACCGTTTGGTGCGAAGGGTGGGAAGATACACACACGCTGGTTTGACAAGCCGGCGCCGATCACCGCCACAGGTATCGTCTGATCGAAATTGCGAGGAATATATTGAAGAATTTTTGGAGCAGATCGGTTGGACGGAGAAAAACCTGCAAGTAAAGTAACGTAAATTTAGCTCATGTAAATATATATAACCCGGGGTCAAGGTTGGGTGAGTCAATTTGGGCATAACCGAGTTAGCCTATATCTAGACGCTTTGACCAATTTGGGCAGCCAATTTAGAACAAATTAATCAATGAAAATTTATCAAAACCAAAAGAATATATAGTACTTTTTTTTAATTAAAATTTGCCGGATAAAGGTCTGGCTGTGTAGTATTTCAAAAAAGCGCATCGAGGGGCTACCTTACTTACCTCAAGAAAAAATATAACAAGGTGATACCATCACCCCAAAAAACAGGATAGGAGGTTCATTTGTTACTATAATTTATATGACATAATTTGAATAAAAAAGAAAAATTTCTGAAATTCATGCTATTAAGCATGTCATATTATATGTATGACTATGAGATATTTAACACGTATCTATAAACGTTTTTCATTAATGGTAAACGAGAAATTCAAATTTAAATTGCTTGCAAATATAAAAATGTGTAATCATTTCTTTTTAAATGGATTAATTATAAGAAAGTATATAGTTACATAAAATGAAACCGAGCGAGTCTATTTTTTGGGTTTAGTTTATATCATGATAAATAAAAGAATAAGCTTGTGTTAATTTAATTTTGAAATGAAATAAATAATAAAAGAGTAAGGAAACAAATTGAAAATGATTTTGAGTTGGACGGTTGAGTTATAATCTAGGATTTTGACCCATTTTAACCTGCCAATCTAGACTTGGACGATCAAGTCGCACAATGATGAATCAAGAAGAGAAGTGCTCCTATAAGCCCGACAGCCTCTCTAAGATAAGTACAGACGTCTCCGTACCGATCTGCAAGACTCTACTAGACTCGCTCATGACTCGTGAGACCTAAGTGAACCTAGTGCTCTAATACCATATTGTCACGACCCAAAATCCTTACCTGTCGTGATGGCGCCGGACACCGCTGTCAGGCAAGCCAAAAATAACTACTTAATTTGGTTCTCATTTTAATATTTTTAAAATCATATTTCCTTCAAATAAAAGGTAAAAGATGGAATTTACAGAGTAAATAATAATATCTTTAACAATTTCAATACAGGACAACCCGTAATCACCCCAAAACCCGGTGTCACAAGTGCATGAACATCAACTAGGAATGTAAAATAAAATACTACATCTGTCCGGAATACAAATTTGGATAGGAGAAATATAAATACTCTGAAGGAGACTCTGCTGGTTGCGGATCGTGGTATAGAGTGCAGCTCTTCTGAATCCCCGCAATAACTATGTCTCTGCGCTCACAAGGCCACTATACATATATGTACCTGCACAAAAATGTCCAGTAAGTGTAGCATGAATACGTAAATCACCGCGTACCCAATAAGTATCCTGCCTAACCTCGAAGAAGTAGTGACGAGGGGTCGGCTCCGACACTTACTATAGGCTATAAATAAAATGCCAATGATATAATTAAGCATGGATTACATAGAACGACTGCAAGCTCAATATCATGAAATAAGTAAAACAATTCTTTTGTTAATAAGATATTTCCAAATTTATTGTTCATCGTTTATCATCTTGTATCTCAGGCCAATGAAGCAATATCAATTATCATAAATTCCAAAGAAAACAATTTAATCATGCGCAAATCATGCCGAGGTCGTACGACCCGATCCAACATAAAAATAAACTGTGCACTGCCGAGGGTCGAACGACACTAACCAATATGTAAATATAAACTGTACACTACCGAGGGTCGAACGACACGAACCATAGATGCATCTATTAATCTGCCGAGGCGAACAACCGGCTCCTATGAGAGTAGTGAAAATTTACCCCGGCTCGCGGAATATATTTACGACACGGTTGCACATAGATTTCTTAAGTTATTATAATATTCTTAAATTCTTTTTCAAAAATACGAAATTCAATGAAAACTTTCAAGTCTTGAAATCCTCAACTTCAACTCTTTTCAAGGCATTTAATAAGCATGCTCGATCTCAATTCTTTTCAAGGCAATAATAATGTAATCAAATAACGGTATCAACAAGGCATGGTGTAAGCCTAAAACTACCCGGACATAGGCATAACTAGTAGCTACGTACGGACTCTCATTACCTCGTGCGTACGTAGCCCCCCACAAATGGAAGCACTTATTAATTCAATTCACCTATGGGGTTAATTCCCTCTTACAAGGTTAGAAATAAGACTTACCTCGCTCCGAAATTCCATAACCGGCTCCAAAGCCTTTCCAACAACTCAAACCGATGACCGTCGATCCAAAACTAGTCAAATAAGATGCAACCCAATTAAAATATACTCAAATACTCATAATTAATCAATTTATAACAATTTCCATCTCCGCTCGAAAAATCAACAAAGCAACTCTTGGGCCCACGTGTCTGGATTCCGAAAATATTTGAAGATAAACATTACCTATAACACTATGAACTCAAATATATGATTTATTCCCAATTCCATGCCCAAATTCGTAGTCAAAAGCAAAAATATCAATTTCTAGGTCTTTCTTCAAAATTCTAAATTTCTACAAATTTTCATGTCTAAATCCATGTATAAACCTTGTATTTAACTCACAACTAGTAGAAATCACTTACCTCATGCTTGACGATGAAAATGGTGCTCCAAAATTGTTACACCCTATATTTTCGTATGTAAAAATGCGTCGTAAGCAAACTAATGTAGGACA